CCGCTTCCCGCCGCTGCGGCTCCCTCTGAGGCCCCAGCGATCGCCTCATGGTGGGCCTCGGCCGGGGCTGTGGGGTTGCCGGGCTTACGGGGTGATAAAGGAGTCAGGAGTGGGGGCTTGCAGCTTTTTTTGGTAGAACAAGTGCCCCGGCAAACGTTGAAAGGAGACTCCTGGGAGGAAGGAAGGTGAAGATCAGTCTGTCTGATCAGATCTGCCGCCACCACCGTAGCTAGCAGCAGCCAGGCTGTAAGGCCACATGGCACACGTGTTGCATTTGAAGCCCAATGTTATGTTTGAAGCCCCACGTGTTGCATTTGAAGCCCGATGTTATGTTTGAAGCCCCACGTGTCGCATTTGAAGCCCCACGTGTTGCATTTGAAGCCCAATATTATGTTTGAAGCCCCACGTGTCGTATTTGAAGCCCCACGTGTTGCATTTGAAGCCCAATGTTATGTTTGAAGCCCCACGTGTTGCATTTGAAGCCTGGAGACTTGAGATCCAGTTAGTCCAACAGGCCAGGAGGGGCAGTTCCTTACACTTCTTAAAAAGGGGCAGAGGTGTACCTACGCTTGCCTGCCCAGGGGAGAGGCAAAGGGATGTGGGTGGGTATCTTATTTTCTTGCCTCCTGTAACAAAAGCTGTTGTAGCTTTCCCCCAGGCCATGGTGGAAAGATGCGCCGGTAAACATTTTAAGTAAGACACAGAATATATATAATAATTTTTCTAGCTGTCATTTTCACGTGTTTAAAGACAGCTGGTGGCTCTAATTTAAGGGGACAATCTTAAGGAAAGAGACATGAAACGGAGTCTTTTCACTTGCTGACTAGGTTCGGTGTTAATTTGGGTAATTCCATTGAATAATGAAATGCTAATACTATTTCAGTTCTTTTTCACTATGCTTCACTGGCAGGTCTTTGAACTATGTAGTGTTCAAAGGAGGAATGATGACCCTGTTTTACTGCCTGTGATGTCAGCCAAAAAACAGTTTTACTTTGGCAGCTGAAGGGCCATCCAGCAAGAGACAGGTTTAGTTAATACTAATCTCGGTAAGATTTAAGCCATGGTCTCAGAGGTCTTGGATGGGTTTTCCTGTCTGACTATTTACAGCCTAAAGAGCTATCAACACCACAGCTTATGGAGCCCAGATTGAAACCACAGATCTGAACATCTGGGGCTTCGCAGTTGTTCAGATCTAAATCCAGATCATAAACCTGCAGCAGAAGTCTACCTCTAAGCCAGTCCTGTCCTTTATGGCACAACACACAAACCACAACGATATTTTTTAGACTTAATTTACTCTGGGGGCCTAGCTCACAACTATTATCAGTCCAGTTTTATACCAGTGTAAAATGAGAGGGAACCAGTAATGAATCAGGTTGTCTATTCCTCTATTCTGTTTGAATGGCGTTGTTCCTAACAATGTCTGTTATTATTTAGTTAGAAAGAACCCAAGCAGTTAGACACATTTTAGTGAGTTAGCTCCATGGACTCAGTCTCTCTCATTTCGCTTGAGATTAGATGGCAAATTCTTGATACCAGAAGCTATGCCTACCAATTGTGAAGCAATTCCAGATACTGTAAAATAAGGCTGGCTAAACTTCACACTTACATACCTCAGTTTTACTCTCAAACAAGAGTGCAAGATGTAAGGTAAATGCCATAAGATATACTTAGCTGCTCTTCCTTAGAAATTCACATAAAGAGGTCTGTTGGGCTTTGCATTGGAGCAAGGAGCAGCATAACTACAGTTTCTTTTTATGTGAGGAGTACAGAGCTCTGCTGGAAGTAAACCAGAGCCTGTGGGCTGTGCTGTGCCTTGACAGCCTTGATCCAACTTCCTTACCTGGAAAGCAATACTTTAGACCTCTCTCACCAGAGCCCAGCTTCTAACATAACCCACATCTCTTTGCATGCCTTTCCAGGTGAATGTTTTTGCTAATTTTCAGAAAGTAGATGCATAGAACTATATCCTCCAGCACTCCTACTGATCCCACAGTAAAGCATACCCCGATGGATGAATCAGGTACCTTGTTTTGCCCCATTTACTCTGAGTACCAGTTTTGAAACAGCCGGGGTCTCTGGGTGAAAAGGCCTAGTAGCTTGTCCAGTTGTACTCTAAAGTTGTTCTTCCACATCAAGACTCATCCTCTGAGGTACCTTTGACCCTCAGAGGGCTTTTTGCTGCCATCAGTTGGTCCCGCTGCCGTTGACACCCTCCTGGGACTGTGGACCCGAATCAAGCCTGCCATTGTGACTTTTATGATGGGGTTCTGCCTGAAAAAAGGTCTGTTTTCCTCTCTTGGGCTTGATTGTTAGCATATCCAGGCAAACAGAAACTCACAAGCTGTCTAAAAAGGTTTTAAGTTTCATTACAAAAGCATAGCTTCCACTTCAGTGCTGTTGGGAGCTGAATCTCAACGAGACATTTTCCTGAAAGTGGGTGGGAGTCTCCATCGGCAGTGCCTTTGTCGTGTCAGAATTGCTCTCATGTTCATTGCTGCTTATGGCAATTCCTTATTTTTCACAAATTGGATTAAATCACTACATCTCACATCAGTCACAGCCCTGACTTTTTGAAATGCCGATTTATGATGGACACTCTACAGAACTGCTCCAAATTACAGGGAAGGTATTTCTGTATATCAGTACCCTTTTCACATTTTTCTGAAGATTAGGTATCTATATTGCAAGTCTTTGCCAATCTCCATGGCAACTAAACACTCGCCACCTAGGTTATGTATTCAAATACAGTTATTTTCAATTCTTTTCCAATTAAGATTCCACAACAGGCTTATTTTCGTGCTATAACCACAGTACTACCAACAAAGCATTATAGTATTATGGTGCAAAACATAGGTGCAGTACTGAACGTTCCTGGTTGGAAGCTGCCTGGTAGTAAAAGGACTGCATTAGATCTTCAGTTTTCTTAATCACCTCTAGATTCTTCTGCCTGAAAACACAAATACTGCCCAGTCATGAGAGTATCCTTTGCTCCATCCT